ACTGGTAGACTCCGAAAAACAACTGCCCGAAATGACCACATTTTGGTCAGGTTAATACATCATGGTCAAAAAAGTCTTGCAACACCTTATGACAAGAATGCCATTAAGACATTCATTCCAGGGTATATAGAAGAACAGTAAATAGAAGACTGACTAAACAAGATTATTTTGCAAGAAGGGCTATTTGTAAGCTGATATTAGCCAGAATTTACCACCATCCCTATGTGACTTGGAAAAAACAGCATACCAACTTACAGGTAGGACACTGGTGACTTTCCAGATGAATCCTGTTTCCGGCTTGTTAAAGCTAATGATAGGATTCGTGTTCGTCATTTGCCTGAAAGACAAATGAGGGATAACTGTATTTTCTACATGGAACACATAGGAGGTGGGGCGGTATATATTTGGGCAGCTATTCATCATTGTGGAAAAACTGCTTTTCATATCCCCCAGAGAAACGTCAATTGCTATGGCCAGAAAATTCTCCAGATTGTAATCTCATTGAGAACTGTTGGGCAAAATTGAGCCACAAAATTGCTAACCACGACTCTAAACCAGCTACTGTAGTCAAGTTGCAGCGCCTTCTTGTAACAAGTTGGGGGTGAAATCACGGTGGAAAGATCAATAACCTCATCGATAGCATGCTACGTCACTTGTGGAGTACGAGGAAGACCAACCGAATATTGATTGTTTAATATGAACTGATATAAGATTATAGATGCTATCTATAATAATTTTATGTTATATTTTGTCATTATATATGTTTTGGTAAGGTTTTGTTGTGATAGGTGAAATGGTGAATTACACATTTTTCTGCAAGTGTTTGATAAAATTGTTTGCTATTCTAATAAATCTTTCATAATGTCTATAGAACCTGCCTCATTATACAAATTACATATGCAGATCTTTAAATAATAACATGTATTTCTCAGTTTGACATCACTAAATGTGTTTATGTTCCACCTCAAACTTAATTATCTTACTTGTTACAAAATATGCAGCCCTCCCCCCAGTGGTACAGCGGTATGTCTGCTGACTTACAACACTAGAAACCAGGTTTCGATACCAGTGGTGAGCAGAGCAGAGATAGTCCAATACAAACAAACAAACTAATCTAAGCCTAACTTCAAATACAATGTTTCAACAGGAATTCCAAGACTAATTGTATATAAGCCTAACTTACTTAGTTCAGATCGATTGTGGCTCAATGGTAAGTGTCAGGGCTTCCGATGCTAAAGGTGGACAGAGCACAGATAAGCCATAGTGTATCTTGGTGCTTAATAACGTGCAAACTCATCGACACAACTATTCGTCGCAATTTCCATTGTAACAGTCTTATTTCAGCTAAGGGCTGAGAAACTGCCAGGGATATTCAAAAACTCTAGCTCTTTTTCATCCCGCACGCGAAATTATTACAATTTTTTTTTTCAATTGAATAGGACTTAGGTAATTGGCAGAATATTCTCGTTTCTCCAGCTTTGGAGCAGTTAACGCTAAAAGCGGAGAAAGAAGGGTTGGCTTTAGGTTGGCATAGGCGAGAAACTTATGGTACTGGAGACTGGGGTTGTGTTGAAGGGGTCTTATGGACTTAAATGTGTTTTATCTTCATCATATGAACTACAGATTTGAAAAGGATAATTAACATGTGGCGTGTCCACTTGTGACGGGCGGGTTTTTTTTTCATGTCAGCGGGGATCATAAGATCCGATGCCATAATTTAGATTTAGGGGGAAACCTGAGTGCCCAGAGAAAACCCACTTTCTCTGCTCGGGTGCATGTTGCCTTGAATTTAGTTTGAGAAACCGTTGTTGTCCCAAATACTCTGCTGTGCGAGTTTTCCCGTTTCTAGAAAGAAGATCAAGGACTGCCTTCTTCGAACCCTTAGCAATATCGTAGTTTAATTTATAGATAAGAGATTTTAATTATTTTCAAAATTTAAATGTGTTTTGAAATTTATCTTTGTATTGATAACAACAAGAGATAACAGATTGTGAGCTCAAGTATTTTCGGAACACAGAAATTTACAAATGCGCACAACAACTATAATGTAAACTAGAATGTTTGGATATAATAGCATACACCCAGGACCGTTTTATCCAATAAGCAAAATGGGCAGTTTACCCGGACCATCGCCATCAGGGGTCCAACGCGCGCGCGAGGTAGTCAGGGGTGGGGGTGAGAGAAGTGTTATTCATTCATTTAATTTTTACATAAATCAAGTTTTACATATATGATTTTTCTATATTTATTTCCTTGCTTTCTTATCACTAATAACTTTAGTTTATCAAATTTTATGGTATTTTCGTTAATGCAGGGAGACAATGGTTTATACTTCGCCCACAGCCCATCGGTGCCTTAACGCAGCCCTGAATAAACCAGCACTCTGCTTCAGAAATTAGATGCCCCCTCATGATTCACAGAGGCTGTAATACACCAATTAATTAAGCTACCCCATTATACCCAATTACTTCTGTAGCTACCAAGAGGAGGTCCCTAGTGGATTGGCAGCAAAAGTTCGAATGCACAACTCTAAAATCTGGAGTTCGATTCCTCAATCCAATGCAATCTTGGCAGGTATTTAGATTTATTGTGAGAACCAGAGGTGCTCAGAAATCTTCATATCTCTCTCGCCCCACTCGTAATTAAGGCAATGTGAAAAACAAAAGAAGAAGAAGGTTTTATATTAGTTTAAAATTGTCATATTAAATGTTCAACTAGTATTAGGGTGTATCTAGAATGGAGTGAAGCCACCTCAAAAAGTCCAGGAAAGCTATGGATATTGTGATGCGTGAATGATACTGCTCGACTTGATTACAATTGCAAATTACAATGCGTTTTTCTTCTTCTCATTCTTAAACCAAACAGCCCCTGTGGGATGGAAGGTCCTTCAGGGAGGTGAGGATTGGTAAATCTTATGCCTCGGCTTGGATCAATAATCCAATGCCTGAGAATTGAATGTGGGAGAAATAGGAGTGCCTCGAGAAAACCCACTATCATCGTCCAGGCATCAAAACAGATTACCTGAGCTGTGCCCTAGTAAAACTGTAATGGAGAAAAGAGTATCTGATGGAAATACGTGTCTGTAACGGAAAGCATGTGTGACAATAACAATTTCAAAATAATTTTAAAAATTAAAGTATTTAAATGCAGTTAAAATAGACTGGCAGGGTGAAAAGATTATGTCAGGCTGGGGTATGTTCTGACATACTCATTGTCGGAATCATCATTGTTGCTTGGAGCAAGTAGCATGAGAGGTGCAGGTAGCTGTTATTGAAAAATTCCACAAAAGTCGTAAGGAAGTTCACACCAATTACCAGGAGACGACTGGAATGGTTGTGTTGAGATTTTTCTGTCATGGCTGTCTCTTTACTCGGGTAGAATTTAGTGAAGTTGGCCTGGATAATTTTTTGTCTTCTCGCTATTCTTGCCTGAGTGTGCTGGTTGAATGAGAGCAGATTGACTGTTGAGGAATATGAGTCTCGAATGGTGGCCTGTAAGGTATCCGTTTGGGTGTCATTGTCACAGATTGCTGGCATGTTCCTGGTTGATGTTTGAGTGTGTTGGCTTTTCATAAACAGCAAACCGGCTTCGATGGTCTGTGTAGGCTTGGTCTTGGTGGCGTCTGAGTGGTCGTTGATTGGTAAGTTGACTGCTGGCTGGTGGGTGGTCCTGTGTTGAGCTGCTTGCCTGTGGGGTCATTCAGCTATGAAATGTAGAAAATAAAAAGCATGTGATCAGTTGTTTTCTTGGAGATAGTGCTTATCTTCAGGAAATTAGTTGGTTTGTCAGTCTTTCTTAGTGTGGACTGCTTTAATCTCGAATTGGATGAAGTATGTAAATGCTTGACATATGTTATCAGTAGCGATGAAAAGGTTCACGTTTTGAAGAAAACAGAAAAAAAGTTTAATATTACTGTTAGGTGGCTGGCATTTCACTGGAGGGCCAGAGTTCCATGGTCAATAGAGTTAGATAAGGTCTTCATTTGAAAGGGATTGGATCAAAATCCCACCCCTACGTAATAGTCTAGTCTTTGAGGTGTCAATGACAATGTTTGGTTTATTCTGCAGAATAAACTGAAACGTCTGTCGTAGGTAAAAATCATTTGTTATCCTGTCGATAATCATGGGTGAAACCGAAGGATTGGGTGGTGGGTTGGCCCAAGGCAAAATATCATTCGTCCCGGCCATTTCGGAACGCTGGTATTTTGTCAGAATTTGCGGAAAAGTGTTCGATTCTCCTTGGTGGACAGAGCTATTATAACCTATTGTGTAGCTTTGCACTAAAAAAATCCAAAGCGAGTCTGTACCTGAAAACACATCCCTTAAATACAATCACCTGCGGTACCTGAGCACGTGTGCCATGTATGATCCTGCTAGTTTATAAATGAATATCTGATTTCAGTTTCAAATATAGCGCCCCCGAGAATGGCCAAGGACATAAAACACGACACTATATTCGTGTTCAGCGACCCTGTAAACCTACTTTTAAACTTTTATCATATCTGGATGACGTTCTGTGAGCGTTTAGACCCCCTCCTTGGTAAGGTTCGTTTGTTTTTTGATTGGTCAAAATCTACACAATGTGTTACTGGTGTTGCGGCCACAGCAAGATGTTTAGCATTGTAAGTCCTCAGGCTTATCGCTGAGCTACTGGGAATTCCTTGGAAGTGAATCACGCCATATAAATAATGACAACCCTGGGTTCACTCCAATGCCCCTGTGAAGTTTTGATCCTACTTGTTTTATAACTGTGAGAGAAGTTCGTGGTCACAGAAAGAAATTTTCAAAGAAACAACATAAGTAAATATGGGGATTATATTAATCTATATAAAACTAACCACTTTTAGTTAGAACGTGTGTCGTAATATGGACCCATACAACAAGTAGGATAGTTTCATAAAAAATTAGTTGGCAAAAATAGGGAATTTTGGAAAATAAACACAACAAAAATATAGATACTAATAAAGCTTTGGTGAAGAAATAAGTAATATGTGGAAAATATGACACGCGAGAAAATAAAGTAACTTCAGTCGAAAGAATCGAACCTTTAGATAGCTTTCTGAAATTTAGTGTATCTACAATGTGTCTAAGCTTAATAAATCTGCCCTTTAACATTTAGTTAATGTTAGACCATGTATCTTGAAATTTATAGTCCATTTAGGTCTGGAACAAAATGTTTCACAAAAAATGCTGTGATGAAATTTAACTAAATTTTCACTCGTGCCGTTGTGTTGAGGTAGACTAGTTTAGTAGTACTACTATTTTATTTGTATATTATAATTACTAATAATATTAAGTCTTTCACTTTTTGCCTGCTTTTGAAGTTAAATTACTTTAACTTCTGAGTTGAAAATATGTTTTATAACCCTCAGCACTAAACTAATCTAAAGTAGTCCTCATTTATATTGTAATAATATTAATAGTATGTAATCCAACTTTTAAAATTATCAGAAAGTTTTGGATTTCGGTTTGGCATTAGTCTTAAGAGTTGAAACTAGATATACTTCTAAGTTATATTAAATTGTCATTCACTAATTTATAAAATACGAAGGAAGGAAATTTTGTATAAGTTATATAACTCTTCTAATACCGGGTTATGCAAATTTCTAATGTACTTATTTTGTGACCCTAAATTTTGTTATTGTGTTTGTTAGTATAGCTATAGAATTATGTTGTTTAGTAAAACTAAAACCAATTGTATCTTTTAGAAACTCGTACATAAATGGTTACCTTTCCAGCTTCATAAATTGAGCAGAACAAAATCTGAAAAGGGAAAATGACAGACTGTCAGAAGTCCATTTGGCCTAATGAAAGTCACCATCCATCCAGACATCATAATAAAATGAATTTATTTTTCTATTTTATTTTTTAATCGAACTTGCTATAGCCCCGAAAATCTTTTCACTAATCTAGCAGGATTTGAAAATAATTTAACTTGCTACACATTCTGTATTCTACAATATATTGAAGCAAAGTTTCACAAATAGATTTTTAAAGCTTAACTCTGTCACCATAATTTTTAAAAGTATACTTCTAGCCTTTTCAAAAAGACAACCCATAGACACATTTATAATGGTTAGTATCCCTGTATAACCACTCAGGTGTAGTTAATAGCATTATTTTACCTACTTGGTAGTCTTTCATTGAAGTTCTGAGTATGACTGTAGTCTGTAGTTGGTAGCAGAAACTGGGATTCAGTTGTAGTTGAGTTTTTATCAGGAAGATGTGTTCTGTCATCTCATTGGTACATGAATCAATTACTTGAATGATTTTGCTGAAGTTATGCTAAGTTGACTGAGTGTTTTATCTGTTAGGTGGATTTAGTAGCCTTTTTTTTATCTTTTATCTTTTGGTTCATTTCCCAGTTGTTAACAATATTATTTTATTGTAACATTTTCATTTCTACATGATGTGCTATTGCAAACATGTTAAAGAAAAAACAATGTATAAGCAGCAACAAATTTAAAACATATTTCCATATCAAAGGTCTCTCTGGAAACACGCAGACAGAACAGTATTCAGAATCAAATATACAGTATCATTGCAGGTAGTATACATCAAACCACCTAGAAACTGAATGAAGATAAAAAATACCATATACAACATCCTCTGTGAATGTAGACTCTGATAAACTGGGGAAACAAAATGAACAAATAAATTTATATGCATTACACCATATTAGAAGAGATCATACAGGAAAATGAATTAAAGCATAATACTAAAATAATGGGATATAAACCATACACACAAAAGAAGCTTTCTACATCCACTCACCTGATAACAGACACCTAATACAGGAGTCAGCAAAACCAGGATACCCCTCTTGAAAGCAGTCAAATCATGGATTCAAGTCCCAATGTGGCGAGAGCCTTGACAATTGGATAGTCTTTCTAACAAGAAGACCCGAAATTGAGTTCTGGCTCTTACCAACACATAAATTCCTTTTAAGAACTTTCTTGAAGGTGAGAACAATTTAGCAGATGAAACACAGGATGTAAGCTAATTAGTTACGAGTATAATATTAAAATTTACAGTAAAAAATTAGTATTTCAATTAAATGTTCGGCTAACAACGAGGCCACAAACCTTAATCTTTTTGTTGACCTATTCATCATTACCTTACTATACGTACATGTGTATAGAATGACTGTCTAAAGCATCCATAATTTCAAAAACTTCAATCATCTTCCCATAGATTTTCCCAGAGAAAACAAAAAATTCTAAAGAAAGTTTTTTTGTCACAATTTAAAATAGAATACTTAAATTAAGAATCAAAATCATTCTACATTATATAATTCTAGCTACCTATCTCTTCACCTTTTCCATAGTTTAGCCAGAGAGGAATTGTTTTGTTTTTGTGTGTGTTTCATTGCATTAAACTACACATACAAAGCACATTGTATGAAAATCATATTTGTGGCCTAATTTTTGACCTTAGAATACATCAAATCTGCAAAAATCCTCTTAAAGTTGATTATTTTTAATGTATGTGTTTTTGTATTACAATTTTAATCTAAGCATTCCATTAAATAAATTGTTATGAGTATTTACAAACAAATTATTTAGGACATTCTTACAACTCTTACGTATTTTTGATTTTTTTACTTTCCTCTGTTATTCAATAGCATTCATGTTTTAAATATTTTGTAGATTTCCTTTAGTTTAAGTGGTTTAAAGTAATTGTCTCAAGAATGTTTAAGCATTCAAGTAACGTAGCAATAATAATCAGCACGTTTGATCATCTTAGTAAGCCTGTATGGGAAAGCTGTATATATATATATTGGTGTCAGAAAATGAAAATTATGAAAATGTTTATACAGTATATTAGGATAACAAACTGCGATAAGTGTTAACTGATCAGTTAAAATTTTATTGACTAATGACACTATAGCTTATACCTGTTTCCATAGGCCAATGCATGTTAATGTATGAAGCTTCTATTTCTGTCTTAGTTATGATTTTGTTTATCATTTATGTATTTTTCCTTATATTGTTTGAGTCAGTTATATTTTTACTTGCTTAAACATTAGCTCACCTGCTTCCAAGTGAACATTAATTATTAAAGTCATTTTTATAACACTAATAATACTTTGTTCATGATGTTATGTAAAAGTTTTAGTAGCCAGTCATGTGATATAATCTCTTGGTCTAAAAAGAGACTGATGAGAGAGAAAGAGAGGTATTAGGTTAGAGAGTTGTGATACTGTGCTATGTAAAATGTATGATTGTTAAAAAAAATTACTGCAAGTATACTTCCGTGATTATTATCTGTGAACTAACGTTATTTTATTACAGAAGGGTTTGATTTTTTTTTTAATTCATTAACATTATTGTTATTATTTTGTGTGCTTTGATCTTAACAGCATTGCTTTTTTTAGTATCTGTATTTGTGCTTGTATTTTTACATTAAGGTATTTCCTTACAATGTCCTGGCAAGAAACTCCTTAATTACATGTTGATATTTTGTAAAACTTAGGTTTAATAAATCTCCTGATTTTTTGTACCTTACACAAGTAATGTTATTTAAGATGCGTATCATAATATATATATATTACAATAGTGAATTAAAGCATTATTAGTAACAACACAAGTTCTGACAACAGGAGTATAGAATAGACGAAAATTTTACCTTATTTAGTGTTAGACAGTAAATTTTGATAATCTATATTTTGATTATAAATGTGTGTGTTTTTCTTAATCTAGTAGTAAATTCAACAACTTCCTAACTTTTTTAAACCTGTAATGTTTTGCATGTTCTGCCAGAATTAGTTTCATGATTTTCCAATAATTATTACCGTACCTTATAAAACTTCATTTTATTTTAATTTTTATGAACAATGACATTGTTTGGATTAGTTTTTAACCAAAGAGACATAAATATTTTGGCACCATCTCATGGAATCTGGTTTTTGGCCAGACATTGGTATCATCTACTCAGGTTTATGGAGTTAAGTTTATTTTAAAGTTAATTTTTTTGCAATATTGTGCATAAATAAATAAATAAATAAAACTCATTTTGCAGAAAAACTACTAATGCACTGTCATCTGTGGGAGTCATCTGTATTAGCTCAATCCATTTAGTGAGTTTCCTGTTACACTTTGGAAGGTAAGAGATATTATTTTCCTAAAAAAAAGTTGGATGTTGTTGTTTTATGTTTATTATCCTTGTTATAAGTAAGTGTTGTGATTCTTGTCTGACAATATCATATGCATTATTTGATTTCTGTAGTGCATATTGATGTATAAAAGATATTTTAATACTAGAAATTAAATAATGTTATATCACAAAATTTGTTATTTTTTTTTAATTGGACACTCAATGTTTCACTTTACAGGACAATAACATACTTTACCTTGTTTCACAAACCAATTAGAAAACTTCCATCATTCCAAAGCTTCCAAGAAATGTGCAATTGTTGGAGAATTAAAAAGAATCGATCACAACTATAGTGAAAAAACACTACATGCTCTGAACTAAGAGCACTGCTTTTGAGCAACAAATATCTACCTTTTTACATTAAATAAGTTTTTAAGGACTGTAATGTGCAGAAATTAGCATTGCACCTTCAACATAAAAAACACATAAACCAGGAAGAAAAAAAAAAAATTTTCCAAAGATAACACAAAAAAAGATTAATTTTAAAGTAGCTCTGATTGATGAAACCATCTCCAAGAAAATAAAAACTATAAACAGGAAATCTGAACTGCCTATTAAAGTTAAAGAATGGCCAAGTCCAACAAAGCCAACTGTATTACAGAAAATGTGTTTGCAATCTACAGATGAGTGTCTTGTCTCCAATGTTGCTTACCATCTAACATGTAACATCGTACATAGGGGAAACCAGAAGAACCCCTACACTCAAGAATAGGAGAACATATTGACTCTCTTTATAAACAACAACATGATAGAAGATAAAGTTGCAGATCATTTTTTAACTAATCTTGGACATCTGACATGAAACCACCATTCTCTGAAAGCCACCAAGTACACTGATAGAAAATTTAAAGCTCTTATCAAACAAATATGACCACAGATGAATAGACACAAAGGATGGTGCCTATATTATAATTATTTTATATTTCCTTCTTTTGTCATTTCATTCTGTAATTTGGATATAACTTTTTTCACTACAGGTAACAGTTAATAATAAGCTTTACTATGAAATATGTTAAATGCACACTATAGATTCAATTAGAATTTATTGTTTAAACCATTTGAAGCTTTGTACTGTCAGTTGAGGTTTGTGTTTTAGTGGAATGCTTCTGAAGAAGCTGTAAAGCAAAATGTTGGGTGTCCAATTAAAGAAAGGTAAATTTGATGTTATAAGGTTATTTATTTCTAGTATTAAATAATGATATGCATTATTGTCTTCCAGATTCTTGCTCTAGTGCTGGGGAATCATGACTTAGTAATGGTGATTTTATGTTTATATAACATGTGTATTTACTATTTATTGCAATTAGAATTTTCTCAGCTTTGAAACTGTTGCTGAGTGACCAATTAGAGGTGAATCTAAGACTAAGTGTGTTTTTGATCATGATTCTACCTATCACTTTCAGTGTTATTTCTTTTTTGATTAGCATGGAAGTACTTATTCCTTAATATTTTATCTTATGAGTTCTTTGTTACTCTAAAAACCTAGAATTAGTAGAATATAAGAAAAAACAAGGTTACAGAAGGAGGCTTATCATAATCACACATGCATATCAGCACTGAGCAACTGCACTAAAGTTTAAAACTTTAATGTGTTACCTGTATAATGCATGTACCATATTCAAGTTAATATTTCAACTTAGCTGTTCCATACTCAGCCAGAAATCCATATATAAAGAATGTTCAAATTCATAGCAATTTTGAACTTGCATCTGAATTCAGCCTTTTGTAATTCTTATGTTTTTAGGAGAAAACAAGTCCAAAACAATAAAATTAAAATGTAAATGAACAGTATTGCATTATTCTCCAGTAATAACACATCTCTGCACTTTTTTCCAATAAATTGATGTACTTCTTTTGTCAAATATACAGTGTTGTCATGCCTTATCCAGTTTTGTGCATTTGCATCTAATATATTGCACCAGGTTACAATATCATTCTTAGAGTCTCTTCAAATGTAAAATTCCTAATAGACCATTGTTTTTTCACCACAGTCAGCACAAAGCAAATTACTTTAGGGTTTTATCAAAAATGGCACTTATATTTTTCCTCAATACCATTGTTTCTCTCACATAGCAAAAAAGCAAACATTTTCTAAAGTTTTTACCTCAGGGACACAGCTATACACTTCTCACTATTAAAACTTTTATCTTCTGTCCTACTTTGTTCAGTATGACTGCCAAATGTCTTTTGGATTAATGAAGCATTCTCAATAGAATCAGCTCTTATGCCTGATATTTGTGATTTTTAACTAACTTTCATCATTCAGCATCATAACAAAAGCAGTTCTACCCATCACTTTATCACTATTGTAGAAATGTCTTTAACTTAAAAAATAAAAAGTAAGTATTCAACTTGCTAATCTCTGGTGAGGCACCTAACCAGAGGCTTTCAGTATGCCTACAGGGTTGAACCAACAACACCAATCGGAATACCATTCCAAGCACTATTACATTACTTGAAAACAGATTCCAAGACTTTTCTAACAAAAATTATGTTAATTGGTGTATAGATGTACTTTTATGGATTCTTCTTAGATCTTTTATCTTTAAACGTATTGATAAATTAGTAGCTTTTCCCTTTCAAGTTTAACCTGAAAATAAATTATTAAAACCTCTACTATCTTTTTGCCAAGGTTTTCAGTTTAAAACTTGCCAGAACCAAATAACTTTATTCTCAAGGATGTTATGAATTTGGGCACAATGTGTGTTTAATTCAAATGCAACTTTGAGGTTGATTTTTTCTTCTGGTTTTTCTCTATTATTGTTTCCTTTTCTTGTAATCTTTCATTACATAAGAACTCCATTCAGTCAGTTAGTACGTTTGTACATATGATCAATTCCTAGAAATGCTACATGTGTAAAATAAAAGGTATTCCAATATTTTAAGTTCAAAATATATGATCCTGTAAAAAAAATTGTAATGATTAACAATTTGAAGTTAAAAAAAAAAGTGCTTAATCAATGTATACCTGATATATCTGGTTTAGTTAGATATCTTAAGTTTGCCTGATAAGTCACACACATACACACACACACACACACATATATATATCCACTTTTCAAAAAAACCCTTTACAGCTTACTTGTTATAATTAGGTTAACTTTGTTACATATTGGTCCTGACAAAAGACAGTCCTATGTAATTAAAATAGTGCAAGAAAAATCTAGAGAAAAAAAGTATTTACCTTTTTATAATGGCTGCCTTCTTGTAATTCTTCACTGATTACACATAAATTCTAGCACAGTTCTCAAACTAAACTTTACAATTGTAAATAAGATATCATGGTGTATAGAATTAGTTAAAATATACTGTATGCTTATTTCATTCCGGCTATACACATAAATAGCTGTCTCACCCCTTGACAAAAGCATTGCTATTGCTCTCAATTTGCTAGTTTGTTGGACTACACTGAAGTCAACATTTTACAAATAGAGTATCTCATCAGATGGCTAGTGACATGAGGTCATCTGATTAGTCAAGTCAAAGCATTGTAATCATTATATACTGTAAAAGAGATACCTTTTAGATAGAATTTGTAATGCCCAAACAACAGATAGACCTTTCTTAATTACACTAATGGAATATCTGTGCTCATTTCACTGTATAATATGACTAGCATAAAAGATGAGAACTTAAGAATTTTCTTCTAGTGATTACAACAAAACATTTTTCAAATCTACATCTCAAGCACTCTTATATACAAAAAGGGATTTGAAATTATTTAAGAACTCGGATGTGATCTCAAAATAAAAAGTGCTTTGAAGTGTGTACTGAAGGCTATTTTACATAAGGTAGGCCAGTGAAAAAGGGCACTTCCTAGTGAATTTATTTGAAGATTCTAATACTATAGCAAAGTCAGATGTATGTATTTAAAAATATAAAATGATATCCAGCTAATCCAAACATTCCAAAACTTGTTCAATCTTTATAAAAATAAAAAATAAAACTGCTTCCACTTTGTTGGTACCGAGTTTCACATCATATGATGTAATAACATATAACATAATATTTTGGGACAACATGGGACTTAGGGACTTACTGGTCCATCTCGGCTGTTCCATCCTCAAAACTAAATTATGATGATTAAATAAAATTAAAAAACCCAGCCCTTTTCATTCGTGTGCTTATCAAGCTTTTTCTTAAACTCACTTAAATTTACTGCCTATAT